GGGGAACCATCCCTATAAACATATTTTGGATTAAAAAAAAAATCTGGACATTTCAAAGGTAGGCCATGTGATGATCTGATTAAAATTGTAGGTGTGGCCAAACCGGTTTGGCTCAGTGGATGGAGCGTCGGCCTGCGGACTGCAAGGTCCCAGGTTCGATTCCGGTCAAGGGCATGTACCTGGGTTGCGGGCACATCCCCAGTGGGAGATATGCAGGAGGCAGCTGATCGATGTTTCTCTCTCATCGATGTTTCCAACTCTCTACCTCCCTCCCTTCCTCTCTGCAAAAAATCAATAAAATATATATTTTTTAAAAATTGTAGGTGTGGAAAAAAAAAACAATGATGAAAAAAGGGGTTGGGGGAAGAGCTCTGCAACTTCCTAGCTCTGGGATCTTGGACCAATCACATTGCCACCTTGTGCCTCATTATTCTCATCTGTAAAATGGGAGAACGAATCGATCGCAGGATTACTGAGAAGAGAGCGGAGCCTTTTGGAACCCTGCCGGGCACTCTGGAGGTGCTCTGTCAGTGTTAGTGACTGCAGTCTAGGAAGGAGACAGACCTGGGAAAGGATTTGTTCAGCCTTGGCCTCCACACAGTGCCTTACACCCAGAGCACCCTACAGCAGACCTTGCAGAACTCCCTAAAAGCAGACCCCACCCCACCCCACCCCGTGGCCTTCTCCACTGGACCTACCCACACCAGGCACCAGGTCACCAAAGGCCCTTTGTCTTCTGCAGACAGAAGTGGAGACTTCAACATCTGGGCTGACTGCCACTTGCTACACAGCGCCCTTGGGCAAGCTGCTTTCTCAATGTCCCCAAGCTTCTGCTTTCTCACTTGTAAAAACAGAAACACCAAAACCCACCCACTAGGGTTGTTGTGGGGACGGTGTGCCGGGCACCCGGTTGGCCCTTCCTCCAGTGGACAGATGTATGCAGACCTGCCCCTCCCTCTCGCCCTTGCCCTGCCCGTCACCACCAAGCTGATTGGAGAGCAAGAGCCACCACATTCCTGGGTTTCTGGCCTCCGTGGTTCTAACCCAAACCTTGAACCAGAGTCACACCTTCTGTGAAGATCAGCTGGAGAGCCCCATCCCTGGCTGCCTGAGTCAGGGTTCGGCAGGAACTTCTGTCCCTGTCACAGCTCCCTGTCAGAGTGACTGACCTGAGTCCTAAAGTGACCCTCACAGGAGCAGACATCGGCAGCCTGAGCACTAGGTAAAGGGCCTCCGCCTGCTGGGGGCTGGGATGGGGTGGGAGGTGGGAGCCCCACCCCATTTCTGTACCCATCTTTAGGCATGTGACTGATCATTCAACTTCCTCACTGACACAGTGAAAGAGGGATGAGTGGAGATAGATACGGGTAGGGAGTGGCAGGGTCAAGCGGCTGACCTGTGGCAGGGCCACAGTCCAGTCCCAGCCTAGAGGGCAGAGCTCTTGCATAATTAAGCCTGACCTTGTAGCCCTCCCTAATTCCTTCCTAAGTAGCTAATGGGCTGTGGGAGGTGCAGCAAGTGTTGCCAAAACAAGAACCTTTGTATACATGCTAATCTACCCTTGTTTTAATCAGACCATAAAATAAAGTATCTGCCCTAACTGGTTTGGCTCAGCGGATAGGGCGTCAGCCCGGGGACTGAAGGGTCCCAGGTTCGATTCCGGTTAAGGGCATGTACCTTAGTGGCAGGCACCTCCCCACTAGGGGGTGTGCAGGAGAAAGCTGATCGATGTTTCTAACTCTCTATCCCTCTCCCTTCCTCTCTGTAAAAAATCAATAAAATATATTTTTTAAAAATAAAATAAAATAAAGCATCTGCTTGCAGGCTGGGCCTTCTGTGTCCTCATCCAGGCATGGGAGCTCCACTGAGCCCCAGCTGTATTCTCTTTGTCTGTCTTCTTTAATCCTTCACCGCCCCTTCTCAGGGTCACCCTTGGCCGTGCTGGCGCGGCACAGATAGGACTGTGTCCTGAGAGAACTGGGGGTACTCCCACAAAAGCCTTTCCCCACAGTTCCCGAGGACTTCAGTGTTCCCATCGCTGGAGGTAGAGTTGAGCAGTAAGAAGTCACTCACCATGGGTGGCAACACAGTCACCGGCCCACCCATGGCCCACCCTTCCCCATCCGATCAGTGACTTTGGAAACAAGGTGAAAATGGCTGCTAATTGCATCCAAGCCTCAGCATTTGAATCTAGTTGGGGGAAGGGGGGATGACCCTGGGCAAGTCCTTTGATCTGAATCTCACTTCCCTGTTGTAAAACTGGAATGGTATGGGAGTGACTCATTAGTGTGAAGATGAAATGGAAAGCAGCAGCAGATTTTATTATTATTATTATTCAACAACAAATATCCAAGACCTACTGTGTGCAGGGTCTAGGGACTAGGAGGACATTAATAAATAAAACACCCCGGCCGGTGTGATGGTTGTACGTCGTCCCATGCACCGAGAAGTTATCGATTCGATGTTCTGCTCTCACAGCCATCTTTCTCTTTTCCTCTCCCTTCCTCTCTTTCTAAAAACCTTTCCTCTCTCTCTCAAAATCAATATGCCTGGCCAGCATGGCTCAGGGGTTGAGTGTCGACCTATGAACCAGGAGGTCATGGTTTGATTTCCCGTCAGGACCCATGCCTGGGTTGTGGGCTCAATCCCCAGTGGGGGTGTGCAGGAGGCAGCCAATCAATGATTCTCTCTCACCACTGATATTTCTATCTCTCTCTCCTCCCTTCCTCTCTGAAATGAATTTAAAAAAATTTTTAATTTAAAAATCAATAAATAAAACATGCTCTCCACCCTCATGTTGCTTACACCCTAGTAGGGGTGACACTGATTGTGAGGGATGGTGTAGGTAACAGTGAAGGTAACCAGCTTGGAAGCCCATCATTTACCAGCGGGGTGACCCTGAGTCACCTCAATTCTCTGTGCCTTCATTTCTCAACAATAAATTGAGCCATACACCCAGGTCATGGGATGTGAGGATCACATGAGTGGATACATGGGAAAAGACCGTATGTATAGCACCTACCATGTGCTCTGGCAGCACACACATGACGAGTGCACTAAAAGGAGCCATGGGATTACTGGGCAAGAGATGAGTTCGAGGCTGAGCGACACCAGCAAATGGGACAGGCACGTTCTGAAGAGGGTGGTCCCCGGGAGAGAGCAGGGGGTACTGGGAGCTGGAGGAAAGGGTGAGGGGTAAAGACAGGGCTGAGAGGAAGCGAACCAGCAAGTGTTCCAGCGGCTGGGACCCTGGAGTTGCTGTCAAGGGTTTGAAGGATCAGGTTGGCAGCTTTAAAGCACTTGTTCCCCTTTGTGTGTGTGGAAACGAGACAGATTAGTAAATCCTATCTTCCCTGAACCCAGAGGAGACGGCAGAAATCCAGGGAGCGCTACTGCCAACCACACCCAAGGACAGATGAAGTTAAGAGAATGAACCTCATTTTAGTACATCGGCGTAAAGCTGGTGACCAGTCTATAGAGATGCTCCCTAAGACCTTCCCTGAACGCCCAGCCTTTAAAACCCCTCAAAAAGAGGGTCTTGCCTCGAGCTCTACCTTCCAGGGGCACACCAGCACCTTCCTCCTCCTCCCCCTCCCCGACCCCTCCCCGCAGGCATGCATCTACTAAACTCTAATAGTCCCAGCAGCCTTGCAATCAGGGCTGCAATGGGCAGCGGCAGTTCATCCCATGAGAACCCCCCGCACTTGTCCCCAAGACCCCCTTTTCTCCTTTTGGTGAGTCAACTGCAGACCAGCCTAGAACCATTTCCCAGCCTTCCTTGTCTCGCTGCCCCCAGCTTTAATAACTGTCCTCTAGAGTCACCCAGACTCGCGCTAAGAAATGTTTCCTGCACGAAGTCAAGAACCACACACGCCCGTCTGGCCCTAGGCAGACCCGCTCAGGGCCAGGTACCCTTCCCAGCAACAGAACTATGACACACATGTGCCCTGTTCATACCGTAGCCCCCGCCCCCGGCACGGAGATCAGGGTAACTCCCTGCAGACCCTCACTTCCTCTGGTTCCCAGCCCCATGGCTTTCAGATCGCTTGGGGCCTTTAACTTTGCTGGCTGTCTTCAAGGAGTGGAGCAGGGGAGACCGAGGGAGGACTGACGGTAGAACCGGGCTGGGGGCACCTGCGTGCTCCCCACTCACACAGCCCCTTTGTGATCCCATGAGTCGGGTGTGCATGCACTTGGACGCAGGCAAAGACTTCTCCTGAGGGTTGTGAACGTTCAGCCACGAGCGCGGCGACCAAGTCCAGTGCCCTGTTCGCAGTACGTTCGCAATAACTGTGAGCTTCACCTCTTTCCTCTCGAAACAGGATCTTCCCTCCTCGCCACCCGGCTGGGAGGGCAGAAGGCGGGTGGGGGGAGGCGGCTGGGCGCAGGCTCTGAGGAAGCAAAGAAGGTGGGTATTCCGGTTGCAGCAGCCCTGGCCAAGGGCACGCTAGTCGGTCCGCAGGCCCCCCTCTCTATAACCTGCAGCCGGAAAGGGTCCCCAGGGCCGGGATGGGGCGCCGTGACTCCGCCTGGGGGCAGAGGGCCGCTCGCTGCGCGCACGTGGGAGAGGAACACGGGAGCTGCGGAGCTGGAGGTGGGGGTGCCTCCCGGCACATCTCCGGGATCCCCGCCCTGGGCGGAGCAGCAAGCCCGCAGCCTTGGCACCCCAGGGCATGGGGGCGGGACTTACGC